GAAAATACACAGCAAATATAAGCCATTAAAGATTCTAAAGGAACAGGTGATTAGGAGATGTATCCAACAAGAATAACTTGTGATATACTTGTGCATAATTCATGTTAAGCAGGGGAGGTAAAATGCACAACACTGCACTTACAGTGGAGCTAACAGACCATATTATGCGAAATGATCCACATCTGCAAAGCCATATTGTAGGAAGCCATGTAGGCCTCCTACATGGCTGTAGAGTCCTAACATATCACGTGGTAGGTACCTGACCAACGACAGGATAGGTAGGAAGGTGATTTTGTAACAAGTGTGCTGCCATTCTGGTTTCCTTGAAGGTCAGATGCCATTCTAGGATGTTTCTGATGGGTTTCCTCTGGCAGCAGCATTACATGAGGCTGTAGAATGCAGTATAAAGACCCAGATAAGTGGGCTCCTAAGAGTGGGCATGTAATGTCTGACTTAGGTCTCATAATGGTAACAACCCACTTAACTTTAAGAGCAGAGAGTATAATGGAATCAGGGTGAATGGAGCTAATTATCAGATTATTTTTTCAACATATTACCTCCAGAGAAACCTTACTATATAGTAACAGATTGACTTCCAATCTCGCTTCTGTATCTTTCTACCTATTCTGTCTTTAAGAAAACCATTTCACTTTAGATACAGTTGTTTCCTCACAATAAGAAAACCATTTCACTTTAGATACAGTTGTTTCCTCACAAAGGGAAGTGGATGAGAAAATATCTAATCAACAGCACTGGAATTTAAAGTCCACTCTTGCCTACAATAAAAACCATACCTTAACCTGCAGTCTTGCAGCTGTGTACTTCCTGTAATTACAGGTACACCAACACACCCTTATCTACTTTCTTTCCACTCCATTTCATTCTGTTATTTATAGATTCGTTAGTTTATAATTAGTTTTGAGAGGTTGCCTTTGTATATTGCCCCTAGCATTCCACATATTGTACATGCACAAAGACCTCTTTAAACTTTCTAATGCAAAACCCTCTGAAGAACTGCATAAATTTTAGGAGGATGTGGAAAAAACCAAGTAAAAACATTTGACATTTACAGGATATATTCGTCATTTCACAATATTTTGAAACACACCCTGAACTGCACAAAACTCAGTATGGGAGGAGCAGTAAAGCTATGTCAGTATAATCTCCTGAGAGACTGAAGTACTCATGTTCCAGGAAATGGCCCACAACAAAGTTAAAATGTTAACTCTCCCACCTCCCTTTGTCTGTAGTGTCTTTATTTATTTATTTGGGTTTTTCAAAACAAGGTCTCATTATGTAGTGCAGGATAACCTTGAACTCTTCAATTATCCTCCTGCCTCAGCCTCCAGAGTGCTGAAATTACAGGCGCGAGCTTTGTAGTATCTTATACAGAGATCTCATGAATGTTCAAACCTTGAACCCAGTTTCAAGTTGAACTTGATGCTCCTGATGCCTCATTATCAGGAACGTGGCCAATATCCCCAACTGCTTGTATGAGGGGTACAGCAAAGGATAAAATAGGAAACAAAGACAAATTTAGTAACATGTGATGGGGGGCTGGGGGTCAGTGTCTCAGGATGGGTTAAGACCCAGATCCTCCAAACCAGCCACTATTTACTGGATGTGTACAATGCAGTGGGTGTATACAGTGATAGGTGGGGCTAGTAGAAGATTCAGAGGTCAGTGACACTGCAGGCAATAGAAATCCTGGGATGTTCAAAAGGACAGAGATGATTTTATGCTAAGACGGATCTTACTCTGAAGTGTTCTTTTTCATGACGGTAGTCTTAGTTTAGTGTTAGTTGGTGGGAGAGGATGGTCTGTCCCAAGAGTTAATGGGAAGTCTCAAAACGGTGATACTGTGGTCCCAAGCCTCCATTTTTCCCTTAGTGAAGTATGCAAAATTAGCCACTGTGAATCTGAGGTCCCCAATATCTCACATATTCTGCTGAAAATAAAGTAGGAATTTGTATAAGTTCACTGGACTATCTGGAGTCACTACACTAGGGACAATGGAGAGAACACTTCTTTCTAATGCTGCCTCACCTTTCCGAGCTCACTGGTAGAAAAATCTGGGTAGATCACTACTGGTTGAGCTACACAAGAAAGTGTGGGCAGACTGGCACATATCTGTCACTGTAGCAAAAAACACGCCACACAGCTGTTTCAGTTCTCTGAAATTACAGGATTAACTTTAGCAAATTCAGAAAATTATCTTCCAAAAGCATCCACAAGTATATAAAAATTACCACAATGCCATTGTCCCTCAAATACAAAACATAGCATTTTATTTATAACCTTCTGAATTTTTTAATGTCTTCACAATGTCCTATTTAAAACATTTCCCACTGCAACATGATTCTGTCTTGTAACAGAACACTATTCCATTTCAGTTTTTTCCTTCTTTTATTCACCAAACATTTATTGCACGATTACTGCAATTCTTTCCAACTGTGTAAGATGAATTGTACATATTGTCTCAGTTTCAGAGATAAGAAGTTCAGCCAATTTAGGTGATTTTTTTTCTATATCTCACACTGTCCACCTACCTATCCATACAGATAAAGTTTATTTTTTTAAATATCAAAGTGAGATCATATCATTAAAAATATGTATCTCTTAATAAATATTCCTGTGTGTGTATGGGTGTCTATATACTAGGGACTGAAACTTGTGCCTTCACACTGAGTTACATCCCCACCCCTTTTTTTGAGGCAGATGATGATACAGGCAATTCTTTTGAAGATAACAAGAGGCATTATGGTAGCCATTGTTGATCTCCATGTATTTGGTTTTTAAGTCATGTACTACATTCATCCTGTTTTGATTGACTCCATTTTGTTTTTATCTTATTTGGTTTTATTCTCTTCAAAATAAAAAATAAAGCTTGAGGCAGTTTTCTTAAATTGCCCCAGTTGTGCAGGCTGCGTTCAAACTTGCGTTTCTGTCTCAGCCTCCCAGAGTGCTGGGATTACAGGCTTGCACCATTATGCCCAGCTTCACAAGCATATATAATTGCAACTTTGTGTAAGAAATCTCACTTAAGTTCTTTCCTACGTTCAAATCTCTTGGTCTTTTTCATTAAGGAGACAGCAAGATAGAAAAGCTGAAGGTATCATCACGGGAAACACAAGGGCTTCTGTCACCAAGACTGCTTATCAAAGGGTAGCCTTCCCTAAAGAGCAAGGCTCTCTCTCATCCCTTTCCCAATCTTAGTTTTTCCTACCCTTTTTGGAAACTTCTTCCTTTATGCCTTCCCTCCTTGAAGCCCTGAAAGTCCTTTATTAGCTATGGCATCTTGAAAAAGGAACATGTCTCCTGTACATTATATATTCCTTGAGACAGTATAATTTGAATCCCCAAAATAACCAACCAAAGCTCTAGTGCAGAACAACTCAATAAACACATTTTGAAGGAACACAAATTTATTCTTTATTGAATATTTAAAACGTGCTAGTTTGCTCTTAAGGCAAATAAGCTGAAGCCCAGAAATACCCATACATAAGGACTAAGGGATTCTAGACAATCCCAGTGTACAGATTCTGTACTTCTCATTTATGCCTCATTATTTTCGGAAAGTTTGTGAATCCGAAGAAGTAATTTCCTAATTTTATTCCTCGCCCAAGGAGCCTGCGACTATCAAAGTACTGCTGGTGATATTTAGTGTTCAGGAGACGTGGCATCCTGACTGAATGTCAAGACGGCAAACAACATTGTTGACCATCACACCCTTCCTTGATTCTTTTCTTCCAGAATTGTGTACTTTGTGGGTTAAGAGTTCCTTTTGTGTTGGGTAAATTTCAAAAATTCCTGAAAGCTGCAAAAGATATTTATTAAATGAAAAATATTTAATTTGTAAATCACAACTCTTGCTAAATCAAATTTTTAAAGACAAACTTGATACGAAGGCCCTCATAAAAAATGAACATGCAAGAACAGGAAAATACTATAGTAGGATGCTTACCTACCATCTTGGTAATTTATAAATTACACCTTTTGCTAAGTTATAAATTTCTAAAACAAAATGGATACTATAGGCTGTGAAAAATAGCCAAGAACAGTTAGGAAAGCACTGAAAAAGAAGAATTAAAACAGGAAAGCTACCTTCCAGTTAGGAAAAGAAGGCAGGCACCTCAACACCTGGATTTTTGTGTAAGCGCTACTACATGTTTTTGTGAATTCGTTACACTGGACTTTAAATAAAGGGGGAAAAAAAACCCCTGCAAAATACAACACAAACTTAAGTGTAACCACTGTTCCTGTGGGCACAGTGTAATTTCCTGGTTGTGTAACAGGACTGTTAAACACTGCCCCTGGAGGGCATCCAGTCCAACCCCAGTCTTCCAGCCCGGCGAGGTGGCACAGTCACAGTAGGCTGACCGCTCCCACTGGCATGCTTATCGCGCTTCCCTCAGGTTGCCTAATACTTTCGCTCGCGTTTTCTCTTTCTTTAGGCTTTCATTGGGCAAAAAGAAACCGGCCTAGCCCTCACCCGTTCGGCACTCAAAAGCAACCTGAGAGGAAATCCGGGCCCAGTATCTGGCGAACAAAGTTGGCCCGAGCACAGAGGGCGCCCAGACACCGCGTGGGTGTCGGAAATCCGCCTCGCGGAGTCACGGTCCCTGGCTCCTCTCTGGGCCCGCTTCTGGACACCATCTGCGACCTCCACCGCTGGACTAAGGGGACCTCGGAGAGCCACAGGGGCTCACGTTTTAGACGCGTGCAGCCCGGGCGCCAACGATCGCAGTTCCAACGCAGTGTCCCCTTGCCCTGTGACCCTTGGCCCGGCCCCGAACAGACCGGACCTGGGTAGCGCACACGGCGGCCCCGCACCCGCTACTACGTGAAGGGCGGTGCCGCCCGCTCACCCGCTGCGGGACGTCCCATTGGATGAGAGAATGAGTGACGCGTGGAGGCCCCGCCTCCCCGCCAGCGTCCAGGGCGCTGACGTGTCCGGGCTGTCGGCTTCCGCTCCTCCCCGCGCGGTATCCACTCACGGCGGCGAGAGGGGCGGGGAGGCCGGGGCTGGCGCTGCCCTCGGCTCCCGCTGCCGGCCCGCCCCGCCGCCCCGGCCCTCCGGATGAGGGTATATATTACGGGCGGGCTCGGGACGCCGATGAGTGGCCTAGACCGGGGACCCGGAGCCGGGAGGAGCCGCAATCGCAGTCACGCTGAGGGAGGTAGGAGCACTCTTTGAAGGACGGCGGGCCGCTACACACACGCTCCACGCCACGCGCGCGGACGTGGACACGCGTGTCACGTCGTTCGCGGGGTGGCAGTATACCCCTCCTGCGGAACCGGCACGCTTGCGACGCGTGCAGGGCGACCCTGGCGGAGAGTGTGCGGGCTGCGCCGCTGGTGGGGTCGAAGGATGGGACGAGGACTCCCCGGAGGGCGGAGGACCTGGGGAGAGGAGGTAGGGGGCGATGTGTGGAAGCAAGGGTTTGTGAAGACGGCGGGGATAGGGACGAGGACTCCGTGAGATGCGGGATAGGCGCGTTGAGGGTCTCGGTCCAGGGCCTTGGGGACAGTTGTCGAATTAGCGAGGCCACTCTCCAGTGAGGATAAGTGGTCTTTGGGGCTGTCAGTTGGGAGCCAGTGTGTTGGATGAATGAGAAAAAGAATTAAGAACTCTGACAGGGAGGACAGACATACCTGTACATGATTCCACTTTAGACCAAACCTGCTTGCCACTATTTTAAAAAAAATAAAGTTGTAGGAGAGAAGTGGAATTTCTGAGTGCCTTCCTTCTTCCTGGCTTGGCCAGAGAGAAAGGTGAGATCTGAGGGGTGAGAGCATTCACTTGAAGAACAGATGGCTCCTTGAAGATGATGATCGAGTTTGGTCTGATACCGTGTGTCGTGCAGTGTTTGTGGATGGGTCATAAAATTTTGAACTCAGGTGGTAGTGATAATGATATTATGTGTGTGTCATTATGTATTACAAAAGTTTAAGGACTTTGAAGTGAGCTTCATGGTGTGGACCAGGGGTTTACAAGAAATGGAGAGCAGGTGTCTGTTGTTTCACTTTGGCTCATTTAGCTGGGGCTAAAAAAGACTTCATAAACTGTGCTGCCAAACAGTCAGTAGTTATGGCTTAGCCTCAATACTATTCTTCAAAAACTCCTAGTATAACGGGTCTCCTTAACTGTTTTAAGGGCATGCAATAGAGCAGTACTGGTAGAGATTGAGACAGAGAGGAAACCAGACAACAGGAAGGAGGAGACACTCGATTTCTTTAATTATGGTATTTAAATTATATTAGAGGTATATTTTATAATAGTGGATTATTGCTGTTTGTCATTTGTTTAGATGCTTTGTATTAGGCTATGGGCATGTACCAAATCTTATAATTTTTAGAGCTGATTTTTTAAGTTCGGTTGTCAACAATATATATTATCGGGACTTGGCCAAAATCCCCAACTGATTGTATGAGGGGTACAAGGAAGGATAAGATAAGAAACAATGACAAATTTAGTAATACATCATGAGGGGCTGGGAGGTCAGTGCCTCAAGATGTGCAAAGAACCAGATCCTCCAAATCAGCCGCTATTTACTGGATGTGTACAATGCAGTGAGTGTCTACAATGATAGGAGGGGCTAGCAGAAGATTCAGAGGTCAGTGACACTGCAGGCAATGGATAATCTTGCTCTGGAGTGTTCTTTTTCATTTTAGTAGTCTTAGTGTAGTATTAATGGGTGGGAGAGGATGACCCATCCCAAGAGTTAATTGGAAGTCTCAAAGTAATCCCAAGCCTGCATTTCTCCCTTAGTAAAGTATGCAAAATTAACCACTGTGAATTTGTGGTTTCCAATAATACAGCTTTTCAGTCTTACTCATTGCTGCATATCCTCACACACACACATACTTCTTACCTGCATTAGGAAATACATCATTATATTTATGACATGGAAAGAGATCTGTCTCCTGCAAGTAAACATAAAAATTATGCTTTATGAAACTCAGGTCTGGTTCTTGTGTTGTGAACTTTACATGTAAATGACCACAAGTGACCTCATGCCTATTTTGATTGCCAGTGTTGAGCCCAGTTACCAAACTTGAATTTATGTGTTGTCTTCCTTAACCTGAATCCATTTTTTAAATCATCTGAAGGTAGATGAGTATCTAATGAATTTTTAGGAAAAATTTGATTAGAACTTAAAATGTTAACATTGTGTTTATACGTGCTTTTTATCAGAGTCTTTTCCACTTTGACTGTTCTGAAGATAACGTGAAAAAGTTTGATAGTCTCTTCATGAGAAAATTTATGCACAAGAAAGTGAAATGATTCATATAGGCTCAGTTGTTGGGAAAGGGATCAAGAACTGGGACTACTCTGGTTACGTGTTTCTCCACTTAACTTTCCACTACTTATCTTTCCACTATGTGCTCCTTTACCTCTGGGGAAAAAATATAAATGACACTCTGGGACTCATCTTTGGAAAATAATTTACTGTAAATCTATCCCTTCTCAACTGTCTTATTTCATATGATGAGTTAAAGCAATAAAAGCATAGCATCAGGACTCTTGGGATTTATGTAAGTCATTAGAAATACTTTTTAATATTCTCATGAGTGTCAAGGTTCAGTCTCCTGACTTCTTTTATTACTGCTGCACTGCTTGGGGGAGCTCAAACTACGACTTAATATGTATGCTGATGACCTTGAATTAGCTTTGGTAATGCCTCTAAAGTCTAAACTACTTTGTTTTGCTGTTCAATCAACATTTCTATTTGGATGTCTGAAAGCCATATCAAACTTAAGATGACCAAAAATGAAATATTCTCTCCATTCTCACACACTCCCCTACATTTGTTCCCATCTAGTGTGTCCTTGTCCTTAGTAAATGGCACCACTACTTGAAGTCATCTTTGCTTAATTCCAATCTGTCTTACATCATGTTTGATCACTTTATCATGTAGGACTATTTTGCCACAGCTGTCATCTTGTCTACAGTAGTAGTTCCTAAGTTCCCTGCTTTCTTTTTCGCCTTCATTATAGTATTCTACCAGCCTGCCTCCTGCACAAAACAGCAAATGCTTCTTTTAAAATCTAAACCACACCATGATATTCCTTCTCCAGTGGCCTTCTAAACTCAAGAGTCCTTACCTTGAACACAAGGCCCACCTTGATCTGGTCTTTTTTAAGCGTTCCAGCCTTTATTCTTTCCTTATGGAGCCTTGGGCAAATTAGCTAACATTTTGAGTCTTATTTTTTCATTGTTCTTCAGCTACCTCAACCTTTTGTTCATCCTTAAACACAACAAATACATTCCTGTCTTGGGGCTACCTAGTATTTTACCTTGTTTTGTCCTTCTCTTCATTTAGATATATTCACAAGTGTCAGCTCTGTAGAGGCCTTACCTGACCACTCATCTGAAATTCCTGTCACCACCCCTGTTGCTCATTAGTCCTTTCTCCCACTTGATTTTTTTCATAGCTTTATCTCAAAGCGCTATCTGACATTTTATATATTCGTCTCCTACACTGGAACACGGGCATGCATATCATTGCTTTCTTCATTATGTGTCCTTATCACACATGTCAGTACCTGGTGGACAGTAAATGCCATAAATATTTGGGGAGATAGATCAGTAATAACTCATGAAAGTAACTTTTCTTTTTAAATTGCTTATTAAGTATATTTGTACATTATAAGGAAGCTTGTATGAGCAACTAGTTCACGTTAGTGGGAAGCGTGTTTGCGGACCCATAGCAAATACAGTTTCATGCAATATGACAGTGTTTTGGTCAACTACAGATTGAATACTCTATGCTGGTCCTATAGATGATCATGGAGCTCAAAAACCCTATTGCCTGCTGACATTATTGCCTTTGTGATGTGTAGTGTGACACATTGCTCACATGTTAGTGGTGATGCTGGTATGACTGAAGCTACTGCTCTGCAAGTCCAGTAGAAGAACAAGCACATACATTTGTCTACAAAACATACAACCTGATGACAACAATAAATTATTTCCAGTAATTTTTTTTGGCTTTTTCCTTTTTATCGGTACCAGGGATCGAACTCACAACTGCCTGCTTGTTCCGGTAATTTTTTAATGTTATGTAATTATCGAGGTTGGTGTAAGTATGAACACTCTTCAGTGTTTGTAAAATGATGAAATCATGCATTTTCAGAACATGTCCTTGTTGTCAAGCAGTGTACCACTAAAGCAGCACTGATAAAATTTCAGCTGCTCATGTTTTGACTTTACTTATTGAATACATTTACTTTCTTGAGCTGTTTTTCATACTGTTCCCATGGAGTGAACTTTCTTTTCTGTAATGCCTTGACAAACTTCTTCACATTCTCCAATACCCAACTCAATTCGTAGTCTTTGTGTTTAGAAGGCTGTGACTCTGTTCTGGATGGCAAATTTTGCTTTCCTAATGGTAGCTGATAGCATTTACAGAGAATTTTCTTTGTTCCAGGTGCTGTTTTAAATGTTTTCATCATACTAACTCATACATACTTTAACCTTAGAGCTAAGTACTGACTTTAGTCCCATTTTCATGGATGAGAATAATTGGAAGTACAGGAAGATTAAGTTGCTCAAGATCACAAGCTTCAAATATGGTAGAGCTTTGATCCTGTCTAATCTGACTTCAGACGCCACTGCTAGTTCTCTTTAATGACACTATTAGTTGGAGTCTTAATATTTACACTGCTTTTATGAGAGCTGCACTGTGGAAGAGCATAGACATTAGAGTCATTTAGACCTGAGTTAAAATTCCTGATTTTCTGCCTATTGGTTATGTAACCTTAGGCAAATGACCTAACCTCTTTGAGCTTCATTTCCTTATTGATTTTAAGAATGAAGTTATGCCTCTGAACCTGTTGAGGAGAATATTACTATTCTTATTTTACAGATGAAAATACCAACGTAGACATTGTTTGTGATTAGTGTAGGTGAGAGAGGTAAGAATAAAAGTTCTGTTTTTGTTTTTGTTGTTTTTTTTTGTCTTTTTCCTTTTTATCGGTACCAGGGATCGAACTCACGACTGCCTGCTTGCAAGGCAGGCACTTATGCCGCTGAGCTAAATCCCCAGCCCCCAAAAGTTCTGTTTGTTTACACAATCTAACAGCAACCTGAGCTGGCATATCTGGAATTCCCTAAGCATGCAGTACAAGAGATGACTGTTGTAGGCTCATCCGTGGCCACATCAGACTACTCCTGGTTGCAGCAGGGGAGGCGAAGTGGGTCTCCAAGTTGTTTGCCATCATCTTCTTGGAGAACAACTTTCATTTTGACTTTTCTGTCTCCCATCTTGCAAGGGACAAAGCTGTACTTGCCTTTTCTTTTTGCAAAGACTGTAAGCACTGTTATTAGTACTATCTCAGAGGACACACAGAAGTAGCTTCTCTTGACCTGAAATTGTAAGTGGTGTTTGTTGGTTGTTTAAAGATTGTGATGAGATAAGTACTGTTCTTTTCTTTCCTTTTTTTTTTTTTTTTTTTTTTTGTCTTTCTTGTTTTTATCGGTACTAGGGATCGAACTCACGACCACACACATGCAAGGCAGGCGCTTATGCCGCTGAGCTAAATCCCCAGCCCCAATAAATGCTGTTATTAATACCATATTACAAGTGGGACCTGAGGCATGGTGAAGTTAAGGGACTCAGACTCTAGAATTGAGCTCTGAACTATGCTGTATATTTCCTTTTGCTAGTATACAAGAGGAAAAGATGATTGGGCTGAGGTTTTTTTTTTTTTTTTTTTTTTTTTGGTATCTGTTGTTTTCTACTCCTTGAATCCAAGTAGTTCTAAGGCACTGGTAATTCTACAGTGGCCCTCAAATTTATCCCTTTCACTGTTTTTTCCTGTGCAACAAATCTAGTTCATATCTTTGGTTTTCATACCTGCAATTGTCATGTAACTTGGCTTGTTTCTATCTGTTAGGGCTTGTATCTAGATGTCCCTCTAAGCCTCATGTGGTCATAGGGCAGGCTGTGTCTAGTGTGATGGATCTGGTATGATGGATCTAGAGTGTGTAATGCTGGAATCAAGGGTGTATAATTACTAAATTAGCTCACTGATAGCTTTGGCTCAGTTTTGGTTAGAATTGATGGTGTCCCTCTGTGGTTGTGAGTGTCTTGCCTTTAAGGGAAGACAGCCTGGATGGAATAAAAGGTACATAAAGAGGGTCATTACTTGTTGCTTGCTGCCTTCTTCCTGCCCTGGTTTGCCGTGTGCTGTTTTCTCTGTGATGCCCCTCTGCCATGCCAGCCTGCCTTGGGGCCAGCCAACTGTGAACTGAAACATTTACAAACTGTGAGCCACACTAACCTCTCCTCCTTTAACATTGGGTGTTCGAATTTTATCTCAGCAACAGAAAAAATAACTAAGACACTGTCCATCCTGATATTCTTTCTATGTCATTTTGCTCCTTTCTCTTATCCTTGTATTTAGTAGTCCTCTGCTGGCTTCCTATGACTTACTGTACTAGGTATAAATCTCATTGTGTAGTTTTCAGTCAGTTCATAGTTTACTGTTGCTCTTTCCCATTTCCTATCATTCTGCCTAAGACTTTTCCTTTTTTTGAAACAGGGTCTCGCAGTATAATCTAGACTGGCCTTGAACTCTGTGTAGGCCAGACTGACTTGGCACTCGTGACAGTCCTCCTGCCTCAGCCTCTGAGTGCCGGGATTTCAGGCATGTGCTATCATGCCCATGTGACTTTTGCTTTGTTGGCACTTTCCATTCTACTGTGCTTACTCCTCATAGTCATTAGGTTCTGCTGGTTTCTTGATCTTATCTGTAGAGTTTCCTCAACCCTTGAGACACAGCTAGATTGTGAACTCCTAACCAATGCCTGTCTCTTATTGTATTTATCTGTACTAGGTGAATAAATGTTTTATTCTTATTTTTAGCACTGCATTTTAACATCTTGCTGTACAATCATAGAATATTCTTAAAAACATTGTCTTATTCGTTATGTGGGTACTACTTGTCTCTTTAAGGTCCAAATTCTTTGTGAGTAGAAATTATGGACTTTATCACTTCTCTGAAAAAGTTGACATTGTTATAAATAGTATTGTTCATGATTATAGGTGGTCCTATATTCCTGAATATTACTGTATTCTGAAAATAACAGCAAGTTTTTTTTTTCCACTAGAGATAGAAAGAGAACAGTGGAAATGTTGAGCGATAGCTTAGTGGTCAAAGGAATAGTATAGAGGCAGTAAATGTGGAATCAGATGGTCTGGATTTGTGTCCTAATCTACCACTGGCCAGGTTGCTTAGCCTTTTGTTCCTCAGTGTCTTCATTTGAAAGTAGTGATAACAATTATACGTGTGTTATAGAGTTGTTTAAAATTAAATGAGACCATGTGAGTGAAATTCTTCATGTAATGTTTGGTACAGACTGCTAATGTATTTTAAAAATTTTGATTTCTTAGAAACATTGAATGAGAGCAAGGCAGAAGTTAATTTCCTCTCTGTCTCTCTCTGTCTCTCTGTCTCTGTCTCTCTCTCTTTCTCTCTCTCTCTCTTTGAGACAGGGTCTCACTTTGTAATTCAGGCTGTCCTTGAACTTGCCATGCTCCTCTTTGTCTCAGCCTCCTGAGTGCTTAGATCATAGGCATGAGCAACCATGCCTGGTTATAAATTAATTTCTTAACATCAGTTTTTTCAGTGTAGTCATATGAAGTTTAGGTGGGAATCCATTCAGAGAAATGTGTTATTAGCTGTTTCATCATTTGGAAACATCACAGAGTCTACTTATACAAAGAAGATGGTTATGATGTCAGTAGGCAATACAGTCTTATGGGACCATTGTCATACGTACAGTCTTTTATTGACCAAAATACTGTTATGTGATTCATAATTGTACTTAATTTAGTAAGAAAACTCCCTCAGTTTTGGAAGTTAGGCTTTGGGCCAATATTAATTACTTTTCTCTTTTAGGTTCACAGGTGCAGAAATCACACTCCTGCTTTCACACAGCTTGGCTGCCAGAACACTATGAATGTTAATGACCTCAGACACAGATTGTCCAAAGCTGGGCAAGAACACCTGCTGCAGTTCTGGAATGAACTGGAAGAAACCCACCAAGTGGAACTTTATGCAGAGCTCCAGGCCATGAACTTTGAGGAGCTGAATTTCTTTTTCCAAAAGGCTATTGAAGGATTTAACCAGTCTTCTCACCAAGAGAAAATAGATGCACGGATGAAACCTATCCCTCGAGAGGTGTTGGGCAGTGCTACTAGGGACCAAGATCAGCTCCAGGCCTGGGAAAGTGAAGGTACTGAATGTGTGCCTGTTTTTTTACAAAGTTTATTAGGTGGTACACTGAAATTGCTAAAGTAGCCAGATCATATAACTAATAGTTTGAGTCTCATGCTGACGATAAAATAGGTGACCCACCAGATTGACGAATTGTCTAGTAAGATAGGGGTAGTGTCTCCTGTTGCTAGCCCTCCTGTTCTGGTTTTTATTTTGATGACTGATTCAAGGCATTTCTCAGTGTAGTCTGAATTTACTTCCAGTCTCTTTCTCTTCAATTTCTGTATTTCTGGATTGTTTTCCTGAAATTGCCAAGCACAAGTTAAATGTTTCAATTGTAAACACTGGCTGCTTCTGAAAACCTGGCCCAACCTGGCCCTGTCTGTCTTGTTTCCTTTTGTATTTCCCTTCGTTCCTGCTGCCATGCACCAAATTATTTTATTTGAGTTGACCCAGATATTCACTTCTGCCTAAACCCTGTTTTAGGACTCTCCTGCCTTGCTCATATTTCTCTTCAGCTTGTCTGGCATTCAGTCTTTGTCTTCCTCACTGTGTCACCTTCTAAGTTCATCTCTTAGATTTCCTCTGTGTTGTAGGCTTTTCTCTTGGGGAGTTCACACTTGCTATTTATGGTTCACCACACCTGTTCACTTGTTATTTGCTTCATGGTGTTTTCTTTAGTGTCCCAAGTTGAAGTTATATTTTTTGAGACAAAGTCTCCCTTTGTAGTTCTTGCTGGCCTTGAATTCATTATATGGCCCTGGGTGATCTACAGCTTGTCTGCTTTTATGAGAGCTGCATTGTGGAAGAGCATAGACATTAGAGTTAGTTAGACTTGTAGCAGCGCCTTCCAGGTGCTGGGTTTACAGGTGTGTGCTCCCATGCTCACCACAAACTGGTATCAGTTGTTTACACTTACATTTCATTCTGCCTTATTTCACTGTTTGTATTTGTCTTCTTCACTTTCCTTCACTATAAATTCTTGAAGAAAACTTGTGTCTTACTTGTTTGTGTATGTTAGGTAGAATTTAAAGGAGTTTTTCAGTTGCAAGTTGATCAGTAATGTTTATTGAATTGACCCAGAACTTTTTAGTCTAAAGCATATCATAGAATCTGTTCTCATAACTGCACTAATTTGCACTTTTGACTATGGCAAAAATAGTTCAATTGCGGCCTTTTGGTTGGGTTGAGCAATAAGGCTTTTTATAATCTACTACTCTGTAAGGCAAAGGATCACTAAATGTGGTAGCCAAGGCCCTTGAGTGTTCCTGCATGTTTCTTGTCACCTCTCAGCCTCGTATCCTCAACTGTAAGTGAGCAGCTTGAACTAAAAACGTTTGTCCTTTTTAAAAGACAAATTTTTACAGAAATCAAATAACAGAAATGGCTTATGACCTAATCAAAACTTTCATTTTTTGGTGTACATTACTATCCAGCACTTGGTTATGTACAGTACCTACTTTTATAATGTAAAATAATGTTACAGATACAGTGCTATATGTATATTTATACCATACCATGATTATTTTTGTTTTCTGTTCTTTGGCATCACACCTCTGATTCTTAAAAAAAAAAAAATGATAACTGGCATTATTAACCTTTTAATGCCTCTCTCTTTCTCCAGGCTCACAAATATACTGATTTTCAAACTGTGTACCAAAGAGCCATTGGTATTTCATTGCAAGGGAAGCTGTTTTATAGAGGGAGGGAAGCAGATGCTTGCTTTGTTGGTCTCTAACCCTATCTCCCTGCTGGAAGAATAGCTCTACTTTTTCTATCCCGTGTATTTGATTGTTACATGATGTTTTATTTAAAAGGGTTTGGAGATTATAAAGTAGTTTGGATGTTCCTCAAGATGTCTTTCAGTAGGCTGGGAGTATAGCTTACAACTAGAGCGCATGTATGCCTAGCATGTGGGAGGCCCTGGGTTTAGTTCTAGCACTGAAAAAAAAAAAAAAAGGCATTTCAAATGTAAAATGCTTGTTAGTGGATAAATTTGCTTCCTACCCACTTTAGTCACTAAAATGCAACTTACAGATAAATCCTTACAATTTCTTTTCTTTTCTATTTTTTTGTTTTTGTTTTTGTTTTTTTGGAGACAGGGTCTTGTCAGTGCAGTTGACCTCACTGTGAATGCACTTAAACTCACTATGTGGCCTCAAACTTGAGGCAATCCTCCTGCTGCAGCCTCCTATGTGCTGTGATTACAGGCATGTGCACCATGCCCAAATCAGATGAATCCTTGTGAGTGGAGAGTTTTGGTGATATCATGATCTTACTAACTTCAGATTCACTAATCTTTCCCTGCTTCCCTGAGTGTAAAAAGACTGTATTCTAATACCCTAGCTACCTGTATTTTTCTTGCAATTTGAAGAGGATAAAGTCTTACTACTCACTCACTCACTCACTCTTTTAAGAAAGATTTATTTTGTTTCACATGTGTTAGCTTACCTGTGTGTGATGGCTCACAGCTGTAATCCTAAATACTCAGGAGGTTGAGACAGTAGGATCAGAGTGAGTACAAGGCCAGCCTGTGCTGCATAGTGAATTTAAGGTCATCCTGAACTATATAGTGAGACTCTGTCTCAAAAAACAAAAACAACAGCAAAAAACCCAGAAAAAACAGAACAAAGCAAGTATTAACTCTATGGAAAGTCAAAAGTTTGACCTTGTATACTGACCAAAAGCAATAATCAAGACATCCTATGGTTTTTATCTTCTCTTCAATTAAACTCTAATCCAGAACTGTTAGAACCAAGTATAATGTAAGAAGGTGCAAAGCAAACTTCCTTTTGGCTTGCTCTCAAGGGTATATTTATTTATACGGGTGGTGAAGGAGACTTCATATCCTTTTCACTTAGCCAGAAACTATATTGCATTTGCAAATTCCTAACAGAAGTTTCGATGAACTATCAAAAGAAAGAGATATTTCAGGGAGTAAAGAGATCCTGATAATTGTAACAAGGACAATTATTTTCAAGATTGGGGAAATAAAAACATGCACAGTAAATTCAAAATACTTGGTGGTGGTTGAGATGAGAATGGACATTTTAAATAAACATAGAGTAGAAAATTCTTTATTTCTGAAGGATAAATAAGTGAGCTCTTTGGTGAAGAGAGATCTTTCTTTAAGTAATTTTTGATGTTTTCTGGCCAGGTATAAACAGTAGAATGTAGAGAAACAACTAGAAAATCTTTGTTTTACAAAGATTGAAAGAAAAATAATTGGAAACTTGGACAAATGCTACATTAGTAAAGATATACCAGAAAAATATATTTGCTTAATAAAACTCCATTCTTAATTAAAGCAGACACATGCATATTTGAATACAAAATAATATTCTAATTTATATTATAAAAACTGGTTGCTATTCAGTCCTTTTTTCTTTTTTTTTTTTTTTTTTTACCTCAGACCTTTTCCTGTTAGTTGTTTCCCTTACCCTATACAGTATGGTAGAAAGTTAAGTGAATTGTTTACAAGAAACACATTTGTAACATTATTGCCTTTATGTTTCCGGAAATCTAGCACATTAATATTTCTAATAGATTTATTTTATTTTAAGATTAATACATGCTTATTTTAAAGAGGTTGGGAAATACTAAATTAAATTAAGGGAAAATGTACAGATTTGTCCCATCTCACAATCCAGAGATATTTACTAGTAATATTTTCTTACACACATACACACACACAAACACACATACACAGTTGGGATTATGAATTTGTACACAACTTTTTAATCTACTCAGGAATTATAAAACATTTCAAGCACATTTTGGAACAAATTTTTAGAGACAAATATGGTGTCATGAATTTCCATACATGCCACTTCGATTAAAATGACTGCGTTTTTGTTACTTGTGTATCATTCCTTTCTCTTTTTTCTTTGGTGCAGCATTTCAAGGCAAATCCCAAACATGTTATTTTTGTCCTCTTATAGTTTGCATCTCTAGAATGGCCTTTTTCCTCCTCTAAATCCATTTTAGAGTATGGCCTTTTAAAAAATAATCCCAATGCTATTGTTATGCCAGATAATATTTATTTATTTATTTTAATTTTATGTAAAAGGAAAAAGAGAAAAACACAAAACAAAACAAAGCGGTGTAAGGGTACACGTAATACAGAACTACAAAAAAAAAAAAAAAAACAGTAAGAAATCACCTGTTAATAGATTACATATTATCATCTTAGAAATAGTTGCTCAAATCACAGTATCAAAGAATACAAAGTGGACATTCAAACAGTGAGACTGCAAACAGCTGTGTTCAATGATCCAAAAACATTAATATAGTCAGCTATTTAACACCCTAAACACACTTGCTGTTATATCCGTTAGAGCTCTTTTTTTCCCCTCTCTTTTTTACAACAAAATTTACACATTTTGGATTTTATTACTCCTTAGTTCTTATTACTTTTTTGGGGGGGAGAGAATAAAGTAAAAAATGGCAAAACAAAGCTGTCAGTCAAAACCAAGGATAGACATAGCACATGATGTAGAACAGAGTACAAGGTTATCAACAATGGTTATCAACGATGTCTCTTGTTTCCTTAAAAAGAATTGTTTATCTCATTAGATATTATAAAGTTGAACAAAACAGTAGAGAACAAGACCAATAAAACTTAGGCATTGTAAACATTACAGGATCCTTTCATGTCTAAAATGGCCTCAAATAGAGATTGCCCTGATTCTTCTTTTTGTGCTTAGCATTTAAGCAAAACAGTTTCATCTTTAATGTGATTAAAAAGAAAGATTTGAAGTGTTTTCTCTCACTAGCCTTTTGGGATAGATAGCTTTCCTTTATCTCCACTAGCTGAATGACCTGTTGATGCCACACCACTTCCTGGAATGCTGACAATTTAAATGAAAGTTCTTGTAGTGCTCTCCCTCAGAAGCACCTGGGGGCTCCCCTCCTTGTTTCGGGCGCATGTCCAAGTCAAAGTGCGCAGTAAAGTGTACAGGAGGAACCAGACCAAGCAGGAAGTTATCCAGGAAGCGTTGACTGCTCACAGGCCACTGTAATCTTTTATTTTTTGTAAATGTTATCAAGGAAAGTGCTTAGAGGTCTCCTCTGTAGCAAGGTTATTAATTAGTCTTTCATAAAATGGAGAGATGAAAAGGATGATCCAGGCTCTTTCCTATTTTTGGAGAAATTTTAGGATAGGAAAAGTTTTTGATTTCTTGGTTGTCTTGTGGGCTAAGTATGTTTAAAATCAGGTAGCATTTTTCAAGTAGGTGCCGTGCTTCCCTTATAAGTTTATGACATATAAAGTTTAAAATAATGTGTCATTTCCATTTTACCAAAAAAAGTTCAGTGAATTTTATTGACCCACTTAATTTCAAGACATTTTATTTTTATAAGACATCCTGATCTGTTACATATTTTTGAGAAATGCTGCATTGTGATTACAGTAGAACAGCTGAACCGGACAATAGCTTCAGTGTACATACAATTTGATATTGTGGACAACAGCTGTATTCGTTCCTGAATTGTCACTGGCCTGCTTTCTTTCCTCTTGTTTATCTCTCTGCTCATCAGTGAGGTGCACAAGCAGGAAGAAGTTAAGGCAGAAACATTTTTATCACAAATGTAAATGGATTATGTTGCAACTCATTTGTAGTAGTTGTGATAGATGGAGATGAGATGTAAATGTATGTCCACCTGGAAATGTGAGCCTGGCAAGCATAATCTCATTGCCACTTTTGAGCAGTGGTGACCAGATTGGTTATCAAAAGTTTCAGTAAGGACAGTTGAAGAAAGTATAGCAAGTAGGAATAGGAGACAAAACACATGTTACTTACTGGTGTTTTTCTTTTTTTTTTTTTTTTTTTTGTTTTTTTCCTTTTTATCGGTACTGGGGATCGAACTCACGACTGCCTGCTTGCAAGGCAGGTGCTTATGCCGCTGAGCTAAATTCCCAGCCCCCTTACTGGTGTTTTTACTGTTCCTGTTTTCCAAAGCTGTTCCTACCTTACCATGAGGCTTTATGGATTGTTATGTATTATTAATGTTATAAATGAGACAGAATGAACTGAGGCCATGGTAAGCTGCTGATTAGCAAAACTTTAAAACTGAAAAAATTGGAAAATTTGAATGAAGCTAAGTCAGGGAACTGATCCAAGCAAGAGAAAAGTTCATGTAGGGGATATTTTGGTAACCGGTTAGGATCTCTGGAAAGCACCGAGCTGATGCTGGGCAGCATCAGGTGAGCAGATGCAGAAGCAGGGAGGTGGCTATGGAGGCGTGGTTTTTGCCTTTTTCAGGTAAAGTAGCTGAGACTTTCTTCTGGACTGAATAAATTAAATGAAGAAAGGTTTATGCCCATCAATGATAAAACAACTTAAAACACATATGCTGTATGAGGAAATTGTATAGCACACAAAGAACAAAAACCTTTGTATCTAAAATGTGTAACTGAAACTTTTAAAAAAGATGTTCTGAATTATTCAACACCTCTGGTGATATCTTGGTGTTGAGATAAACCACAGCTCCATATCTGCTAGTATAAAATAATGTAGCATCTATTGTGCAGTAAAACCTGACCTGAACAGATGTGAGACTATTTTTGAACTTTATCCTGTGTAATGTAATTATAAGGAGCTCTTTCAGATCTGCTTGGCATTTAATGTAATTATAGCAAATACTGTATATGCCTAATACTTGCTCTAATGTATGTATTAATACATTATATTTATATTGAATATTTTTTTTAATTTTTGAAAAGTTCTGTGTTGTGAAACAAATCCAACTCAAAGGACTGTGAACTTACATTTCAAAGTAATACTATATAGGTCAAAAATAACAGCCTTAAATTTATTTCCTAGAAACCACATTTCTGATAACTCACGGAATAACAAACTATAAAACAGTTTTAAGTTTGCCATATGTAATTCCCTGCTTACTTCAGATTCCTTTGTATCAATATATTTTTGTTGCATGGTGGTTTTGGGGTTTATTTAAGATGAACCTACACCTAGAATTCCGTTAAAAATTTTAGTGTTTAGTGGGGACATAGCTCAGTGCTGAGCAGTAGAGGACTTACCCAGCAGGTGTAAGGCCTTTGGTTGGATTCCCACCACTGCAAAACAAAACAGAACACAGATGTTTGGATTTGGAGGATGCTGGCTTTTCCTGCTTACAGCTTTTCTGTGGGGGGTGTAATGTGAAAGGCAGCATGGCCTCTTGCAAACTTGGTAGGAAAGGGGAGAAAGAGCAGCAAAGCAGTAGGAGGGAAGTTTGCATATCTAAAAGTTATGGTGTTGTAATGTGTGTTAAACAAATATTTGGGTGTGGTCTGGGACTGCTGGAGATAGATGTTGTGTGATTAATAACCCTGGACTCAGAATCTGATCTTAATTCACATTTACTAGCCTGTTTCTCTAAAATGGAGAAAATTATACCTGCTTTGGGTTCTCAAGTTATTTCATTTTCTTTTCATATTCTGATAGGATAAAATTAAATGGTGTAGAGATAATAGGACACTTCCCTGTGCAACATAGAAAGATAAAATTAAGTCCTAGCTTCAGATTGAAGATGAAAATTATTGAGATATATATATGTGTGTGTGTGTTTAAATTTTTTCATTGAAAAGATACCTAGAATAGTTGCTGAATGATGACTTTTGGCAGTGTGTACTAGTGGAGAAAAATACAGAATCAGGACTGGGGACAGCTCTAATATTACAATAGATTTAGTATTTAAGTTCTCGTTGTACTGGTCTGTATAAGAAAACTTAACATGTAAAAACATATAAAGCATAAAGTTAGTAAATTAGATAAACCTACATTACCTAAGGATTTTAAAGTAATAATAATACAGATAACCCTCAATATCTGTGGGGTTTCAACAAAGATCTCCAATGGATGCCAATGTGCTCATGTTCCTTATACAAAGTGGCATCACATTTTCATATCATTTACACATACTTTACATCATTTCTAGATTCTTTTAATATTTAACACAGTGTGCTTGATATGTAAGTAGTTGTTACATTGTTTATGGAATAATGAAAAGAAAAAATAGTTTGTGCAGGTTTATTAAAGACACAGTTTTTAAATTTTGAATATTTTGATCCATAGTTGATCAAATTCACACATGTGAATCTGTGGATATGCAGCACCAATTGTAGCTACCTCCCCTGGCTTGGTCTACAAGCCAGAGTGGAGAATGGCCAAGTTCACTGACAAAATTTCCAAGAATTTTAACAAAGTAAGAAACTAGAAGAAACGTTATCAACCATTGCTTTATTCTCCCGACATTTTAAGTCTCTTTGGCTTGGCAGAGACGCAGTTTCCCTGAAGCCTATTCCCCAAAGCTTCTGTGCCTGTGGTGCTGAGAGTGTCTGCTTCTGAGTGATCAGATGGGTCTCACAAAGGGAATATTGCAGGATTTTGATGTTACATTTTTAGGCCAAACTGAGAGTGTCTGTTTTTAAAAAGCCTTTCTAGTTTTTTTGGTTCACATCTGAATCTTGAGCCTATCTCAAATTTATTTAGGTTCAAAAAATAATATTTTTTCAAGCATTATGTTTGATTACTACTTATGACTATTCAAATGATGAAAAAATGATAGGATCTAGCAGAAGAACTAAGTCGGTAAAGAAAAGGCTGTTAAGCCTCATTATTCTTACTGAAGTGCTTTAGATGACTTACTTTTTTGATGGCTTTTTTTTTAATTTACAAATTTTATTTCTTCGTTTACTTTTTGGCTGTGATAGGGAGTGGACCTAGGGTTTTGTGCATGCTGAGAGAGGTACTCTGTTGCCAAGCTTCATTCCCAGCCCAAATTTTACTAATGTATAATTACACACAGCAAAATACATGATTTTTAAAAAAATATGTATACAACCATATAGCTCAATCCCAGTCAAGACGCAGACCATTTCCTGGATTCTACTGCGTCTCCTAAGGCTCTTTGTAGGTGACTGCCTAAGCTGATTTGATTGAGTTTCAGACCAGGTGCTTTGATTTCGGAGGCTAGGTTCTTAACCATTATCCTCTACTGCTTTCCTTCCTGAAAGTTTCTTTTTTCTATATTTTCAGGATACATAGTTTGCCTAGTATATTCATACACTTACCATGTATTTCTTAGGGATTGATCTATAACATCATTATTCATCCTGCAACCTTGGTATCTTCTATCCTATTCTAGCTTTCTCTTATGATATCTAATAATAATCAAGTTCTTGCAAAACTTTTATAACATCTCTTGATCCTTGCCTCCTAGTGTTACCAGAAAAATTATCTTATTAGTTTATTAAAATATGTCATTCATTTTTTTGGTGTTTGGTTGGGCTACATAACTTTGTTTTATTAAGATAGCATCCATGATTGTATGTAGACACAAGCAATCCTTCTCTATGCTTTATGCAGATGGGTAAGTCTTTGCTGATACTACTGCATGTTTAATTATAGGGCTTTTGTGATAACTAGTGTTTTCTTTTCCTTTTCTAGGACTTTTCCAGATTTCTCAGAACAAAGTAGCAGTTCTCCTTCTAGCTGGTGGGCAGGGGACAAGACTTGGAGTTGCATATCCCAAGGGGATGTATGATGTTGGTTTACCATCCCATAAGACACTTTTTCAGATTCAAGCAGAGCGTATCCTGAAGCTACAACTGTTAGCTGAAAAATACTATGGCAACAAATGCATCATTCCATGGTAAGATAAGTTTCATTGGAAACTTTAGAAGTATCTTTCATTGGAAACATTAGAAGTATCTTTTGGTACTTTAGACACTACCTCTAAATTTCATACTGTTTGATATTTTGTCTAGGTATAGAATTTCTTACTGATAATCAGTTTCCTTTGGAACTTGAAGGCATTGCTCTATTGTTTCTAGCATTGCTGTTGAGATGTCTAATGTCATTCCAATTCCTAGTGACTTTCTTTTTCCTCTTTGAAAAATTTAGGTTCTCTTTTTACCTTTAGTATCTGATTTTATCATAACATGGTATGGGTCTATTTTCAGACACTGCTCTGGGTATTCGTTAGTCTCTCAGTCTAGAACAGTGATGGCAGACCTTTTAGAAACCGTGTACCCAAATAGTTTGTGATGTCCTTGCCAGGCATTGTTACTCCTTTTCAAGCAAGTGCATGGCCCCTATGTGTGCTGTTTGTTATCCGGTGCTCCGCTGCTAGGGTGATGCTGGAGTGATTCGGCTATGTGCCAACAGAGAGGATTCTGTGTGCCTGCTGCACCACTCATGCCATAAGTTCACCACCACTGCTCTAGAAATTCACATCAAGTACTAGGTTACCTAAACCTCGTCTCCCTTCAATTCTTCCACACGCATACCAGGCGAAACCTGCTCTGATTTCTCTTCTGTGAGTTAAACTTGTGCTGTCAGGTTCTACTAGTGTGCTGTATTTTTAGAGTCTTTATGTTGGTATTTGTCTGATAGGCTCCAAGAGACTACAGAAGCCCGCTTTGCTTTTTGAAGTGTTTGTTTTAGCCCCTTACTCACTTTCCCAGAGCAGTTTTGGAAGTTAGCATGTTTTGAGGGGGAAATCAGCTGTGCGCTGACGTTCCCCAGGTCCCTATCTTGTTATTTCAGTCCCATATAACCAATGAAAGCTCCTCTGGCTTCTCTTCAACAGGTTCCCCACTCCTTGCCTGTGCCCAAAATTGGCATAGATACCCTCAGGACAAGGCAGCTGGATGTCTTAATTTTCCTTGGAAAGATTTTCTTTCTCTGGATCTTTAGTTCCAGTATGTGTTGTTTCTTTAGTTCTCTGATTCCTTTGGAATCTTTTTTTTTTTTTTTTTTTTAATTTTCCCACCTTTTTGAGGGGACCAGTTTTTCTGAGCTTTTCTAGCTTCTCTCAATGGTACTACTGACCTGCTATGAAGTCCTCCTGCCCCCACTTTTGATTCCTGTGGGGGTTTTTGAACGATATGTGTATTTTAAATGGCCAACATCTTCTTAAGTTCTGGCCTTCTACTATCATCTTGGATTTTTGTTTTCTCTCTTTCTTCCATTTTGTTCTTATCTTATGCAGAATAGTTGAGCCATATAGTTTGTCATCTTCTAAATCCTGTTTTTTGTTTTTGTTTTTGCTTTTCCCAGAAGGTCAAATACCCAGAATCAATTTTTGGATAAATATTAATATAATAGAAATCAGATGTTTTATTCATTCATTCAACAAATACTACTTGCACCTAGGTGCTGGGGATTAATCAGTTGTCGCAAAAGGGGAAAATCCTTACCTATAGTTAATTTATATTCCAGTCCAAAAACCATTGCAGTTATCAGTTTTTGTTTTAGGTAGTTTTTTTCTTTGCTATACTAGCATAACTTGAACTTTGGTGACAATATGTATAATTACAGTTTGAAGGTGACAGAACCTAGATTCCTTTGCAAATTTTAGGAAAAAGAACCACAAGAGATAATCAGACTGCATTGCAGTTATCGTTTCTCTCTATTTATTTGGAATTGAAGTGTTAAATTTAAAATATACCTTCACAGAGTTATAAATGTTTACTGAAGCTGACAATAGATTTTATGCTGCAGTAAATGTGTTTAATATTGTTAAGCAGTTTTATTTTGCACACAAAAATTAATAAAATTAAGAGGCAAGCGCTCCACGTATTTTCTTTAGTATAGGAAATAAATAAAACTTTATTTCCTCCTATGAACAGGGGAAGTAAATGCACATAGCACTATTGCTTAGAAAAGTCTTGTTTTTCTCTTGTAAGGTATATAATGACCAGTGGCAGAACAATGGAAGCAACAAAGGAGTTCTTCACAAAGCACAAGTACTTTGGTTTAAAAAAGGAGAATATAATCTTTTTTCAGCAGGGAATGCTGCCTGCTATGAGTTTTGATGGGAAAATTATTTTGGAAGAGAAGAACAAAGTGTCTATGGCCCCAGGTTTGTAATTCTTATTTAATGGTTGACTGGAAATGAAGATAAGCATAAATCATTAAGTCTTGATTGTCTTTTGAATATGATTTGTATATTTTAAAAAAACTATATATTCAGCTTTTTTTTTCCACTTATAATTATTTAAAAAGTTGGAAATGTCCGTTGGTAGAATGGACACATGCTTTTACCTTTTGTGGCTGTCTGCCCAAAAGAGCAATTTGAACAGCTTGCAGGGTGTTCACTCTCTACCTAGTATTTTATGTATACAGCAATGTTGATGGCTGCATTACTTACTGTGGTGAAAAACTGGAAAGCATCTGATGCTTAATAAATAATTTACAAGTGGGATATATTCTTAAGTAGCACAATTGTTTAGAGGCATTAAGTGACAAAAATTATTTTGATTAGTTAAGAGAATACAAATACAGAATTAAGTGCACAGTATGAATAGGGTAGCTGCTTTGCAGTTTCAGGTAGTGTATGCCCATTGTAATTTGTTGATGGCGTCCATTAGAATTAGGCAGTGTGCTATTGCTATGTGTGTAGTGACCCTGAGTCTGATTCCAACTGTAAAAATAACTCCGTTGACATATTCATAGCTGTGTGATCACTACGTGGAGAAAAGGCAAAAAGGTACTGAACTGTAATATTAACAGTGATATTTTCAGGGGCGTGCTTTTATTCTTAATTCCCTTTTTTAGAACAATTTTAATTCTTTTTAATTACTGAAAGAGTTTATTATACTTAGCTTTATTTTGGGAAGTTGTCTAATTTTTTTGTCATCATTTAAGCAATGGCCAAGGTTATTGATATCAAAATTACATTAAAGCAACAAGAAAAAGATAGGAAAAGAAACTTTTTCTTGCATTTAGTTTAAATCACCTTAGACCTTCGTCCAAACTTGTGCCTTAAGAAATGATTGGGTATAGAATGATCATGATTATATATTTTTACGTCTGAGCTGGATGAAATGGTCAATGTTAGGACTATAAATATAGACTTACTTTGAGTCATACAAATACTCAAACTTGAAATGTTATGAAAAATTGTTGCCTCGTGAGGAGTTTTATGTTGCACAATGTATGTATTGTAAGCTAGATTATTAAAAAGAATTAAATTGTAAAGAAATATAGTCTTTGGGATTACCAGGTTCTATACTGATAATGTTGCTCTGTGGATACTTTATGCTAAATAGCCTTCAAAACCATGTAATGTAACTTCTGACACTGGGATTCTTTCTTATAGGTATTCAGCTTTCTAGGCTTTTACTATGAAACTGTTCTTCAGAGATCCCCATTTCACTTCAGAAGCAATGGACAGGTTTTGGGTTGTCCTCATAATGAATTTTTGTGTGCTACCAGTGGCTGTTTTATTTTCCAGATGGAAATGGGGGTCTTTATCGGGCTCTTGCAGCCCAGAATATTGTGGAGGATATGGAACAAAGAGGCATTTGGTGTATTCATGTTTATTGTGTGGACAATATATTGGTAAAAGTGGCAGATCCACGGTTCATTGGATTTTGCATTCAAAAAGGAGCAGACTGTGGAGCAAAGGTAATGCTTCTGTATTATAGTGAGTCTTTAATGCTGCTTCTGTGTCAGTGTAAACATTTCAGGGTTAAAATATGGCTTGTTAGAGTGATTTGAATATTTTAGAACCATTCATCTCTCTCATGCAACCTATTCCACACCCATTGTTTTGTTCAATTGGCAACACTTGACTCTAGAAATAATGTTATATACTTGTCAACCATAGTGAGAGTTTAAAATATGTGGAAAAGTACATGCTTATTACTAGGCTTGAGAGAAATTCATTGATAGCAATTTGCATTCAGTCAGTTAACCTCCTGTTTTTCCTATGACAATGTTACTCAAGAGGTAAGAGCAATACAGAAGGAATAACATACAGATTTCACTAAGAATTTGATATCTCATGATATTCTTATGAATAAAATGCAAATTCGTGATTGAGGATAAAAATATTTAAGGCAACTAATACTGCTAGAATGACCACTGGCGTACTGATAATAAGATGGAGTGCTATGTGATGACTGCTCTTGGCATTGTTCTTTTCAACGTTTTTTGGTTGCATAGATGATGATATAGGGAGCATGCCTTTATGGTAGCAGAAAAGTATATGATTTAGCTAGAAATAAGACAAATTGTATAAGACTTTAAAAACATTGGAAGGCTTAAAATATTGATGTAACCATTATTTTTCTGGAAATTTATAAAGGTATTCATTTTAAGCAATCCCAATCAAGGTCCCAGTGAGCCTATTTTGGGGACCTTTTATTTCTTTTATTTATTTATTTATTTTTGTCTTTTTCGTTTTTATCGGTACCAGGGATTGAACTCACGGCTGCCTCCTTGCAAGGCAGGTGCTTATGCCGCTGAGCTAAACCCCCAGCCCCTGGGACCTTTTAAAAAATGATTATAATGTTTAGAGTCAACATGTAAAGATGGCCAGAAAAATGTTGAAAGAGAAGAGACCTGAGGCAATCTATCAGATACTAAAGTTAATTATAAAGTAACTAGGAGTGTACTGCTAATACCAGAAGAGACTGTCAGATTAATGGAAGTGGAATGAAGGCACCATAAAAGTAACATTTTAAGTTCTCTTGTTACCTAACCTTCCTCCCCTCTCTCCATCCACTCTTCCTAACATCTGGTAACCACTCTTTTACATTCAGATTGATTTTTAAAGTTTCTCTTTATGAGAGAGAACGTGTAGTTCTGTGTTTGACTTACTTCACTTAACATCCTACAGTTCCGTCCATTTTGCTGCAAGTGATGGACTATCATTCTTCTATGGCGGAATAGTATTCTGTTGTGTATGCACATTTTCTTTGCCCGTTCATCTGTTGATAGACATCTAGGTTAGCTCCAGAGCTTAGCTATTGTGAACAGTGCCGCAGTAAACATGGGGCACAGACACTTCTTCATACACTGACTTCGTTTTCTTTGGATATATACCCTGGAGCTGGATTGCTGGAGCATGTGGTAGATCTGTTTTTGTTTTTTAGAGAAACTTCTGTACTGTTTTTAGTAGCTATCCAAATTTACATTCCTGTCAAGAGTAAGAAGTCCCTTTTCTGTATATGTTCACAAGCATGTATTTGCCTTTTTAATATAAGCCATTCTAACTGTAATGAATATAAAATAATAAAGAAATAGAAGCATTAATTTCCCTGATTTGATCATCACACATTTAAACATGTATTGAAATATTATACGGTGCCTTATAAATATGTTCAATCATTATATGTTAATCAATTTTTTAAAACTGTTAGAAATGTTAACTACTCTGATTTAATCATTGCACATTATATTCATGTATTGAATTAGCACACCATACCCCATAAGTATGTATAGTTAATTTTATGTGTTTATTTATTTTTACAAATCCATTTTATTTTAAGAATAAAAAGAAAAGAAGAAGAAAAACAAACTGCAGCAAAATTTCAAAACATGTCAGTCACGGGGCAACAACAGTACCTACACTGCACACTGTCATCCCTATTCATTCACCCGGAGCACAGGACGCCTGCATTCAGGTGTCTGAACAATACCAGCACAACTCTTTCTCTGCAGTGAACTTAGAGAAATCAGTAGTAGAACTATCTTAACTATTTTTATATACATATACATACATTGTATAGTTAATTTTAAGGATAAAAAAGACATTTTGATTTAGTTGTGGATATGAGTGAGAGGACTAAAAAAAGAGTAAATCTTTGAATGAAAGCTTATGCCAGTGAACAAAAGAAACTGGTAATATAAAAGAAATAAATTAGCATTTATCTTAAACTGTTTATGAAACAACAGAATAGATAATTTAGGAACGTGCTTGAACTTTTCCCTACTTCCTGTTTATCTGTCTCCTATTTTGCCCCCCCCCCTCAGAGAGCTTCTCATGTAAAAGAAACCCTGAGGAAATTCTGTCCTTTCATTTGGTTTCTTCTTTGTAGTAGAGAATCTTTTTTGTTTATAACTTATACTCTAAATAACATTGTGGCCATTCTTTTAAGATCATGATACATAGTATATTAACCATTGTTATTCTCTTATTTTGTTAGGAAACTTATTTTTATAGAAGTTTTTCATATTTTTACTAATATCTACTTGTATTACATTAAAGAAAGTTCATACCAAAATCACTTTCAAGTGAATTGCAAAGTTAAATATAAAAATAAAGTTACAAAGGTGCTAGAAGAAAATTTAGAATGATTTTATAATATGATAAGAAAACCATTCTGCTGAAAGCAGAAACCATATAGGCTTCTGATGAAAACAAACTACAAATAAATTTGAAATAGCTGGATTTAAATACCTGTCAAGAGAGACATACCGTCTTCTTTATTGGAGACTTTTTATTATAAAGTATCATTTCTCTCAAAATTAACCTACAAATCTAACACAAAGTCATATCTAAAAGCTGAAATCTTAAGCTTGTGATTGTGAGTTTTGAAAACTTAAACTGATAGGTCTAGTAAGACTTCTTATGATTCTGAAAATGAGTTAGTTTCATATATTTAAGACATCTGTCCAATCTGGAGTATCTGTAGAGTATAATATATTTTAAATGGGTACCACACTGTAATGAAACTGGAGTATATTGGGTCATAATTTACCTTGAAGGTTAAACCAGCCTCAAAAAACTAAAATAATGTATTTCTTATGTGTTCCACTTGGTGTCTCTCTTCTTTTTAAAATAGAAAATTTTTCACTGCTTTAAGTTTCAGAGTCAATTTATAAAGACTATATGACCAGAGAGTGTTGAGCTTGGAAAGGACCTCAGAGGAGATATGGTCAATCTGTTTGATCTTAGAAATTCCCACTCAGAGTCCCCATACTTTATAAGTCCTAATATCAAAGCCCTTCATCACATTAGCAAAACCAGGATTAGAATTCTGTTTTCCGCCTATTAGTCTATCTGTTATGCACATTATACAACTGCGCTCTTTGGAGTAGCTGTGCATTTACTGACAGCTCAAAAACTTTAAAAGTGGTGTGCTTACCTTGGTCAGTGCACCAATCATGTAGAGATGCAAATGGTAAGTATCATTTTTCTCTATTGACCTTGGATCCTTTGGGGTTCAGACAGGCTCTACCTTGTAGACTCACTGCTTAGTTCTCTGTCTGGCATTTAACATACTATCAATGAAGGAATAAATATTCACAGAAAATCAAAATATTGCTAGACTGACTTATTAAAAAATTATAAATGTTAGGAATCATTTAAATAAGAAAACCAAAGTATTAAAATATAGATATATTTAAAAAAATCTTTATTGGAGATTAATTGATAATAGTATGGTAATAAAATTCTTTGTGGTATTTAATAGGCCTCTGTCATAAGTACAGTAAGTATTTAATGGATTGAAAGCCTCAAGAAAAGACTTAACAGTGGGATAGTTTACAAACAAAGCTAAGAAAAGTTAAAACAATTGTCACTGGATATAACTTTGTAAAACTATTTCCGTAATATTGTTACTTTGAATTCTTTTCAGAATTTAATTTATGGAGTATTGAGCCTTCCTCTTAATGTTATACTGCATATTTTCTATATAGTATAAACTGACTTCCAACTTCATACAGTTTCCAAATGTTTTCTTCTGTAATTTTAGACTTACAATATTTGGAGGTGAATAGTTGTCATAGACATAAACCTCACATCCTCAGATTAACACTTGGGAAATGTAGAGTATGAATATGCTTATTTTTATTACCTGTTGTTAGGTGGGAGAGGGTATGTGGAGATACTTGGAAAATAAATCTTGTATGCATTTAAAAGGGGTGGGTGTCACTGAGAGGACCATGTTTCAAAATTCCCTGCCTGGTAAAATACACGCTGTAGAATACATGAATTAAGAGTTGATGGGTTGATAGACTCATGATTTGCTTAAACCATTTTGCTATAGATTTCCTTCCATTTTAATCCACTTCCCTTCTTAAAAAGTTTCTTTTTTCAAGTACTGTGCTCTTTTCAGGGAGGCACACAGTGCAGCTACCCAGGCTCTGACATATCCAGTGGCCCTGCCTTACCGGGCTCAAGACTCGGTACCTAAGTCTGTAATTGCAGTGTAAATGAAGTTTTCAATAGTGTCTTTAGTTGTCTGGAAGAAACTGGGCCTGCGTGTATTTGTTAAATTTATTGGCACAATTTTATGTATACTTAGGATACAGTTTTCAAATTGGGAATAGATTTTCAAAAAATATCTGAAACATGCAGATTTGTTAATTGGACAATACAAGCAAAACACATAATTGCTTCAGATGTTCTTCATTGTTTGAGTCTTGTGTTGGCTATTAGTTTCATCTGAACTTTGACTTTATGCTGGTGTTTGGTTTACAATGTTTTTGTAATTTTCTCCTAACATGTTAGTGATGTTGGGGTTGGGGTGGTAGCATATCACAGTTACCTGTGAGATTTTTAAAAAATTATATGCTCTTATCTTTTTCTTCTGATTTTGGTATATGCTATTCTCCCAACTCCCCATCTGGCCAACAGGCATTATAATTATCAGTCAGGTCACTGGCTTTCAAACTTCGTGAAAGTACAGAGTTTCTTACTTCAAACAAAATCTGGTATGCAAAATGGGTTAATATAATGGGTCTTTTCTGATGAAAATGGGAGTGACCTGCCTGCTTTAACACTCCTTCCTCCTAGCCACGTCCCTGAAAATCAATATAGCACTTTATTCAGGAGTGAAAATTGAAGAAACACTATTTTCAAATGAAATAATGATCTGGGCAATATAAAATGAGAGACAAAATGCCTTACAAGTCTTTGGTCTCGTGATCCTACGGAGATTTTTTTTTTTTTTTTTTCTCAAAGTGCTTAAATGTAGAGAAATAAGCTATGTGGGAGACATAGGCTTTTCATTTAATTAGTTTTAGACCTGTGTGATTTTTCTCTGGTCTGCATGTGCATCTGAGTATTTCCTCCCTTATTTGGTTAATTGATACACAGGAAGGAGCTAATATATTTCATATTCATTTGAAAAGCAATCTGTAAAAGAATATAGTTGATTAAAGTTCAAGATTTCTTTTGGTTAATTACTTAAAGATAATGTAATCAAAGTTGTACATAATGGTCTTTGACAAATGGCAGATCTCCAAAGGAGCATTCAGTTATTTTTTTCGCTCTGCATCTCTTGTTTGGTGGGCAGGTGGTAGAAAAGACGAACCCTACAGAACCAGTTGGAGTGGTTTGCCGCGTGGATGGAGTATACCAGGTGGTAGAATATAGTGAAATTTCCCTGGCAACAGCTCAGAAACGAAGCTCAGATGGACGACTGCTGTTCAATGCTGGAAACATTGCCAATCACTTCTTCACTATACCGTTCCTGAGAGATGTTGTCAAGTATGGACGAGATGGGGGCCTTTTAACATTTTTGCTGTTTTAATTAGAAGCTAAGCCTCTTAGGAGACAGGTAGACACCCCAAGTCCATATCTCATGGAATTCATCTTCTTTTCTGAGAATTGTTCTTATCAAGTGGAAACTTATTTCATGTGGTGATTTTTATAGCCAGACACAAGATAGGTATTAGTAGGAGCTCTTCCCCCAGGTGTTCACTGGAGTCTAACCCTCCTAGTCTTCTGTGTGCTGGGTTTCGTTAAAGCCAAAAATAGGAAATGAAACTCTTGACTACAACTGACAGAGCATTTTAAAAATAGATGTTTATCCTATACCAACTGAATAAGAATTTCTGGAGGTAGATCCAGAGCATATATATTTTTAAAAACCTGCCCACATTATTCTAATTCAGCTGTTTCCAGAGTGACATTTAGGATCCAGTGCATTAAGAAACAAATAAAAAGGACCGAGACTTGCATGAGAATTACCAACATAGTACCACAAAGTATAAAGTAGTTATTTTAGCCTATCAAATTTGGATGGAAGGACATTTTCACTGTAAGTCACTTGATAGCTTTCAGACATTAAATATTATCTACTTTTTAAAAAAAGCTGGTAAGATTTAATTTTTAAATTGACTAATTGTATATGTTTATGGAGTATATTATGTTATTTTTATGCATCATAAAATGATCAAATCCGGCTAAGCTTTACTTGATATCAACTCCAGTTTCAAAAGATTTCTTATTTTACTTTGTTGCTTGTAGCTGTTAGTTCATCATAACAACTTTTGTTTGTATGGTAGTGGTGCTGGATTGAACCCAGGGCCACACCGGTATTAAGCAAGTGCTCTACCACTGAGCCACCTTAGCACTTAAAAAAAAAAAAATCCCCAAACCTTATTTGGAGACATTATCTCATTAAGTTGTCTATCTGACCTTGAACTTGGGGTCCTTCTGCCTGCCTCCCCCTCCCATGCAGCTGGGATAGCAGTGTACACCGCCATACCCAGCTCATAGTAACTTTTACTACTTTCCCATACTGCACTCACAGGGACCTCAACTGGGAAATTGAGGGCTGTGAGAACATTTTAAAAAAGATATGGAGCTAATGGGATAGAGATTGGTGTAAATTCTGGATATGTACGTTTATGTGTATTCATTTTTAAATGTTAAAATCATTTGATTTTTTTTAATGTAAGGAAATAAACAGTGAATATATTCACTTATATTTAAAAACGAGCTGATGTGGAGAAATGCACTTCATTTTGGAAGTCTTGGTGCTAGCTGATGATGTATTTCCTAAGTGTCATTTGAGTTTCTGGCATTTTTAAATCTGGAGAGTGATTACGCCTTTTTTCCCCTTCTAGTGTTTATGAACCTCAGCTGCAGCACCATGTGGCTCAAAAGAAGATTCCGTATGTGGATTCCCGGGGGGAATTAATTAAGCCAGACAAGCCAAATGGAATAAAGATGGAAAAATTTGTCTTTGACATCTTCCAGTTTGCAAAGTATGCTTTGAATAGCACCAGTAAGATTAAAATATGTCTTGAAATGTTGCTCCTTACTTTCTTAGGCAGGAAACTGTTCACAGGAAACATGGGACAGCCTGTGTCTCAGGTTTTGATCCTGAGTGTGGAGTCGAGATTCATTCTCCAGCGCCTGCTTGGCCAGTGTGAGGTCATGAATTTGATTGCCAGTAAACAAAACTAACAAAACAAAACAAAACAATCCAATTGATTCATTCTCATCACCACTCCAAGAGTGTGGTCTGTGGTGCCTGAGAGTGCAGTTTCATTATCTGGCTGTGCTTTGAAGTTGTTAAGGTCGGTTATCTTTGGATAAGAGCCTACAGTAAGGGTAAGGTAAACAGTTGGCCCAGTTTGTGTCTAGGGTAAAGGGCTGACCTGTGAGCAAATGTTTCAGGGAATCTGCATTTAGACTATATAGCTGTCTCTGAAGATCGCATTGGAGGTTGAGGTACGTGTCTCAGGATTTGACCACCTTGAGAATGGAGAAAACAAATTTAGCTGTATATGATCAGTCTTCCCATATACATCTCTAAAGTGTCCCTTTCATGTTTCCCCCCCTCAGAGGATATGGTAATACGATTTTTATCTGCTAAGATTTCTGATCTTTCTGACCTAAGATTGAAATATCTTTTACTTGTGGATGAACTGATTTGTCATTTTATACTGGAAAAGATATTTCTAACTTTGTTTGGTCCAGGGATAGTATTGTTTTATTCATTATTCAAAATGGGATTTAGCCTGTCACTGAATATCAAAGGCTTAGAAGGGTTGGAAGCTGTGTATGCAGTTTTATTTCATAAAAAAAAGTCTTTGTATGGTTTCACTTTAGGAAGTTTGTGGTGTATGAAGTGTTAAGGGAGGACGAGTTCTCCCCGCTGAAGAACGCTGACAGTCAGAATGGGAAGGACAACCCTACGACTGCAAGGCACGCTTTGATGTCCCTGCACCATTGCTGGGTGCTCAATGCTGGGGGCCACTTCATAGATGAAAATGGTTCCCGCCTTCCAGCGATTCCCCGGTAAGTCCGTATCCGTTCTCATTGGTGTGAGTACTTTCTTAGATTTTCTTTTTAGAATTCTTCTCCTGGGTGGATGTCTAGATTTGTTTTTAAAAAGCAAAGTCTTGCTGTGTGAGCAGTTCTTGATATGAAAGATCTACACTTTTGACCATTACGAAGGGAACACTAGCTTTACTTTCTCTTACAGAGGAGTCACTTCTAAGTCTCTTGGCATTTCTTGAAACATCCCCACCATGTCAGTGAAATCACACCTGCTAGGTCAGAAGATAACTATTTTGGTGTTTTGTCTCATTACACCCCATCAGCAGCACCCTCCACCATGGCATATTGCTCTGACCCAGAAGATTGGTGCTGCTGCTTATGTAGCATTGGCCTCGCTACAGGTGTTGTCTCTGAAACTCACCCCAAGCCTTGCCACTTCCAAGATACATATCATTTCTCGCCACATGCAAGGGCAGGTGCCCGGAGGGGATGCAGATGCCAGGAGGGGAAGCAGATGCCAGTTGCATTTGCTGATACTCAGACTTCAGAAATATTTTAGGTTTTCTGAAGTGAAAAGAAGAAAATATTTGTAGCCAACTGAGTTTAAGTTACAATGCTTTTAAATTAAATCTTATATGTTGGATTTCATTGGAATCCAGTTTCCCTTTCTGAGTCATGTCGTATTTCTGTAGTGAGGTAAAAAGCCATTTAATTTATGTTCTTAATAATTTATGTTCTTAAGGGGAGAAATACCTGGTTACATGCAGAAAAGCTCTAGAATGCCTCAGTGCAAGTTAGCAAGTTGGCCATGGGAATTCACTGTTCTATAAAAGAAGAAACAGTGGTAGCTTCTCCTGAACTGGCCCAGGCCTTTTGCAGGCTCTAATTGTCAGCAAGCTTGCCCTGTGGCATGTCACATTGTTCTCATGCTTCATCTTTGACCATTGAATCTTTTTGTTTTGTTTTATTTTGTTTTGTTTTTTTAATCCCTTCAGGTCCCTTGTGCCAGATTTATGATTTGCCATAAACACATGCCATTTGTTCAAGTATATTTTGCAACTCCACTTCATTGTTATTGTTTGATTTGTTTCCATTCCCATTAATGCTTATTTATTCCTACATAGCAGTGCTACAAATGGAAAGTCAGAGACCACCCCAGCTGATGTCAATCACAAGTAAATATACCAGCCTGTCTGCAGTGCATGGTGGTGGGGCTGTGCTTCCCTTGGTACTAACTGCGTTAGAGTTTAGAGCTCTGCCTTGTGGGGGTCTGAGGGAGGATGATTGAAGCTTTGGTGGGGTTGCACTGCTTAATTGGTGGCAGGTATCTGTCTGGGTGATGCTAACTCAGAATCTCATTGCATGCCTGAAGTGGGGCGCATGCTTTACTAAGAATCTGATCCAGGGGTGTTTAAGCCCATAGTGATAGATTTACAGGTGTTGTATACAGAGAAGGTTACAAGATAGGGAGGACGGATGAGGATCTCAGCTGACACCTTTTAGCATAAGATAGATAAAAGTAACACTTCTCATTCTATTTTTTACTTTTATTTTTGCCTGTTTTGGTGTTGGGGATTGATTTCAAAGCCTTTGCACCTCCCCACCTACTGCTCTTTTTTTGTTTTTGTGTAGACAAGTCTGAGTCACTAAATTGTCCAGGTTGGGCTTGAAAACTTGTGATTCTCTTGCCTCAGCCTCCCTAGGCCTGTGTCATCATGTCTGACTAAAACTAACATTCTGAAAATGTTTTTTACCAAATGGAATATGTGCTTCAGTATAAAGGCTGATTGTTCCTGACATATATGATGACCATTAGTGTGGAGAAAACTGTTCTACTGATTTAGTCTCACACTAATAGTTCTTTTCTTGGTTATTGTGTTTTAATTTTACTAAGTTATCTTTCTTTTAAAGTAATTTTTTTTTTGGTCTTAACAGCAGGTAATTTTTAGCTAGAAGTTGCCCATATTGTTTCTTAACCTGGACACGACAGCTTTTAAAAACCATTTTATCTTTCTGGCAAAAGAGACAGCATGTTATTCTTGCTATATTTTCAGTTACTAGGTTTAGTTTGAATTTTGTTTTTAAGGTAATTTGGGAAATGTGTCAGGGCAAAGAATCTGCAAATGAAAGCTGCCTCAGAAATAGAGCAGCACTGGTGACAATTCTATCCACACACTTTATTCTATTGTGCTGCTCCTCTTTGCCCCTTTACTAGGTGGCAGGTATCTGTCTGGATGGCACGAACTCAGAACTTGTAGAGACAGGTCCCTGTGAGTGCCTGTATCCGGGAGTGTAAACGAGAGATTGGACTCCAAGACTTGGCTAGTGTTCTTTAGAGGCAGAGATGACTCTTGTCATGGATGTAGGCGTGCAGATCCCTTCGTCACTTTCTGTCTCACATAATTTTTAATATTTAGGAGCAAGCTGCTTTTATAGTTTAAGAAATATAAATTTGACCCTGAATTTCCTTCTTATTGAACCATTGCTTCAACTTAAACCTTTCAATTTAAAGGTGCAATGTTTTCTTAATTACACAGCTGAAAACAATATTCAGGTATCTTTGTTAAGAAACAAAAGCTTTAAACATTTCATTCTTATTTGAATGGTTTTATTTTGTCCTCACCCAATTCCCTTTTACTTAATTTTAGCTATTTGTAGAATAATTATACTGATTTTGGTTACATATGCCATCATGGACTTAGAAATCTTTAGTCCCAAAGATCTCTTTAGAGAATTGGAAGAGTTTACTTAAAAGTGAGACAAAAGGAAATGTTTTGTGTACAGGAGAGAAGAAACAATTTGGAGACATTCTGAAAGATGGAAACAAGGTCACAGAACTTTGACAAAATGCCATTGTTTTACTTTTTCATTAAAGCTCATGAGCATTATTCCCTTAGAAAGAATGGTTGGTTGAGGGTCACTGTGGTTCTAGAAGAGAGGTTATATATTCAGATTAACTGTATATGTGTTCTCTGGGCTCAGAGCCACATTCTGATCTGGATACCCTGAAGTTTTCAGAGGTTTAGGTGACACTGTGCTGTTCACATCTTATCAATGGATTGGCCCCTCATTTTGCCATTTGCCTTTTGAACCTGATTTTCTCTTGAGGGTCTGACCTAGACCTCTTGTGATAGGATCATGCACATATTTGAAGAGATACTTATCCAATCTCTACTTTTTCTTTCTCTGCATTAGGCCATCATCCATCTGTCTTCGCAGTTCATTTATTCATTCAGTCCACAAGCATTGGTAGGCCTGCCCTCAGGCCTACAGGTGCCGCTGGTAATGTAGATGCTTAAAGTATCTCACATAAGAGAAATAGGATTTACAGCCTGCTGGGAATTAAAGGTGCAGTTCTATAAAACTTAAGCTACCTTGTCAGACAATATATCATTATGTACTATGTGATATAAACAGTACTTAATTGAGGTGTGGACTCAGCAGGTTGTATAATAAATTTATTTTATATGAACAAATGAATGGGATAGTAATTATCAGTTGGAGGTTGGGTTGAGCTAAATCATGGAGGATGAGTGTGATTTTCATAGTTAGAGACCATAGTTCAGAGTGAAGTCCAAAGGGTGTGGCTGACCTGGTTCTAGTGGAAAGGAGCAGGATGAGTTGGTGTAGGATATATAGAGTGCCTTAAATACTACCCAGTGTTTCCATTTGGACAGTGACAGGCCTGTGGCCCTGAGGCCCTTACCCTCAGAAGCCCTCTGCATTTACCAATTCTTTCAAATTGTGAGATTTCATACTTGGGAAAGGAAGAGCTATAGTTTGAGGCTACAAGAGCCTGCGTTTTGTGCATGATGTACCCTTATTAGTAGGATTGCTGAAATGGCAAATACTGCTGCAGTTTAATGATGGTACAGGTGTTGAAAACACACGGTTAACTTTTGTGTTAGGTAATCTAGAAATTCAGAATTGCAAATAGCTATGAAGGTTAGCTTTTTTCCTAGAAGTAAGCAAACAGTTGCTTTGGCTTTAACTTTTGATGGGGTGTATTTTGCTTTCGTACTTTTTAGTGACTTTGGTAACAGAAGTATTTTGAAACATAAAGAGTAAATTTTTCAGCCACTCTAGGAGATTAGGATTGTACAAACAAAACTGGTGTGCTGGGCTGCAATTTAACCAACATTTAGAGCAGGGCTGTCTGTTGGAACTTTCTGCAGTGAAGACAATGAGCTGTACCTGTGCTGTCCAGTTTGGCAGTCACCAGCCACTCTTGACTGCTGAGCACTTAACATGATTATTGTGAGTGCAAAACTGAATTTTTAATTTTTAAAATGTTAATTAAGTAACCATTTATTGCTCTGGGTTACTGTGTTGGACAGGGAAGCTCTGGACTGTCAGTGTTGGTGAGTGCCTGACTTGAAAGATTATAGTGAAGATTAAAACAAAGTACAAAGGATTCAAGATACCTGGCAGTGAGGTGCATAGTACACACTCAGTAGTCTCTTCTAAGCAACTTTTTGTAAAAAAATTGAGGCACTATATATTCAAAGGGATAATATATAAATATTGGTGAAATACTATAATGAGCAATCAATTATTGGTACATCTCCAAAGTGTCTTTTTGAGCATGAAATTTTCATGCTAAATTAATCCTCGGAATTTAATTATGATCGGGTAGAAGGCATTCCATTTGTTCAGGAAAACTCTATTATCTGCAAGCTTCTCAGAGGACGGTTATGGTCTGTATTTTCACTCTGGCCTGTAACATGGGGCGCAAAATTCTTGAGCATGTTTTTGGACTTTTTTTTCTCAGCTTAAAGGATGCCAATGATGTACCAATCCAGTGTGAAATCTCTCCTCTTATTTCCTATGCTGGAGAAGTAAGTTCACTTTATTTTTTTCCCTGTTTCTTTTGTAAAGCGTCGTTTACTTCCAAATAGTTCATAGACAGTGGGTTTTAAATGTTGTCACTACAAAGAAGTGATAAATGCTTGTAGAGGAGAGGAATATGTTAATTTAGCTTGATACAATTCTACATTGTGTCCATGTATTGAAATAGCATACTGTACCCCAAAATTCATATACAGTTGTTTGCCAGCTAAAAATAAGATACAATTTTTTAAAAAATGTAGGAGTCTGGTATTGTTTTATGTTTAAGTACTATTGCTCTTAGAGAAAATGCAGTCTTTTAAAATAGTTTTCCCCTGAGGCACCCTTCCTGAAGTACATTAAGAAGCTGCATTTGTTCTGAAATCTGGTTATATTTTGGCATCTATTATATAATTTGTCATTAATAAAAAAATCTACTGTTCACCCATTCACTGAAATGTAGTAAACTTTAAAAATATGTAATAAGACATTTTAATATAATAGGTTTTAGAAATCTATAATGAACCTTATTTTTGGATAGATCATTTATTTGAATCTTCTTAATATACTGTAAGTTTCCTTTCCAGAATCTATTTTGTTTATGTACTTAATAGTGTCACTTTTTAAAACCTGAGGATTTAAAGGTTCCCTATTTTTCTAGTTATGCAGTATTTTCTTTTGGAGATTTTGTTAGTATTAGTTCTTGTATCAGGGTTAGACTTTAAAAAGCAAAGTAAAACAAAACAAAATAGATTCTTACTGTATAGCCCAGACTCAGCTTGAGCATGCAGCAATCCTTTCCTGAGTGCTGAGATTACAGATGTGCACACTGTACCTTGTTAGAGATAGCCATCTTAGAAAGTTGGTTTTATTGAGCATTGATCATGATAAGAATAAATATCATCTTAATTAACTTTAGAAATCATATTATAATCTCTTGTCTAGTATCCCAAAGGTTCTGGATTCAATCCCCAGCATATCTCTCTCTCTCTCTCTCTCTCTCTCTCTCTCTCTCTCACATACACACACACAAATTACAAACAATCGGGGTAAATTTCTTTGTTGTTGTTTCATGCTTTTATAAGTCAGACATTGAGTCTAGTTTTACAAGTGTATAAACCAGATTTTTGACTTTTAAATTCTTCTTAACCAACCAACTTTGGCATCATGACTTAACTCTATTACAACTGCTAAGTCCAGCATTATATCTACCAATTTTGTAACTGTGTTTTATGTCAATCCTTTTAGGGCCTAGAAAGTTTCGTGGCAGATAAAGAATTCCATGCACCTTTAATCATTGATGAGAATGGAGTCCATGAGCTGGTGAAAAATGGAATATGAGTCATTTACCAAGTTCTGCTGCAACGGAGGATAGCTTTTTATTTTTAATAGACCAACTGTGAACCTACAGGGCCCCTTCTGGAAGACTGAAGTTTGAACATCCACAAGATTCATTTTTCTTGTTGAATTCTTACAGCTATTGCAGACTTCCTAAAAATCCAGATGGCTGAACTTCTGATAGCATTTTTATGATTCTCAATTCATTGAAGGTTTATTTATATTTTTCAATTGTCTGATTTATTTCTAAGCCTAGGAAAACATTGGCCATCTAGGAAATTTCTTATAGTTTAAGTATAGTCAGGATGTTTAACATCACTTTACTTGGAACTGGAAGCTTTTGTTTTTGAAATTGTACATAGTAATAATATGTCATGTACATTTCAGAAGGTTCCTATGGTACTAAAAGTTTGTTTTATTTTATCAAGCATTAAACTTTTTTAAGAAAATAATTGGACAGTAAAATAAATTTAACTTCTTGTCTCTGGAGTGTTATTTATACATTGAGGAAATTATTCCAGTGTGAAAATGTGACACTTGGAGAAAACTTTGAGGTAAGGCATAAAAACAAATTGATGCTTCTAGGGGTTGCAGACTCATAGAGCTTTTTCAGTGAACATCCAACTTTGGGCCTTTTCCTCCTCTTACTTTATAATCTCAACTGGAAATGATTTCTCTGAGCGGCATCTTGAAACATTTTGGAGTGTTATAGTTGAGAGGGAAGGATGGCACTGCTGGCATCTTAAGGAGGCCAGGATGTTGCTAAAATGCCACAGTGCAGAGGATAATCTCCGATAAAGAATTACTGGACCCAAGATGTCAAGTGTTACAGTTGGGAAACCTTGTTTTAAATAATTCATTTCAGTTTTGCCCAGTATTTTATCTCACTTAGGAATTCAAAATAATGTCATTTCTGGATTTCCTCAGCAAATTAACCACTACTATTTCTGTTTTGTTCCAGCCTGAGGTTAAAAAAGGCAAAGGCCATCTTTAAATGTGGGCGAGTGATCACTGGTCGTTAGTAAGGGTTTTCTGTGTCTCAAATGTGTTTGCATGAAAATATTGAGCTTTATTTTGAATCAGGCATAATGGGACATTGCCTATAATCCCAGTACTGTGAATCATGCATACTCTGTGAGCCCAGCATGGGCAATTCAGCAACTTGAGACCCTTTCTCAAAATTAAAAAAACAAAACAGAAAAGGGCTGAGGATATAGCTCAATGTGAAGGCCTTGAGTTGAATCCCTAATGCAAAAGAAAAAAACATGAATTTTATGTAACATTTATATACTGCACAAAAGCATAAAAAATACAGAGATCAATTATGTTCCAATAACAAGTTGTCTCAAGGTGGGATGTTATACATGAGCCCTTGTTTAAGGATCACTTAAAAAAAACAGCATATGATAAGGCATAGTGTGTCTAGCATATTTCATGATTTATTTCAATAACAGCCCAACTTTGCTCTTGATATCCATTCTGTTCTTCAAAGAAGTTTTGTGACATTGAGGTCTCATTTAGAATAAGCTCCAGATAGATTGTGAGGACATAACTGTTCAATGTTAGCTCCTGATTCATCTTTTTTGTGAAACTTCACCTGGTATTTCTTTGCTGTCTTTTAGGTACCGTAAAGAGCGAAAGTGCTATTTAAACTGAATTGTCCACTTGATTTGCTTTAGAGCTGCCCAGGAGAGTAGTAAAGCACATTTCTGGGTGTGTCTGTGTGGGTCATGGAGTTAGGTCCTTGAGGACTAGATCTGGTCCAGGCCACTGCCTCTCAGGCACTGTTCCTTGTTCTGTTTCCTGGCCACTGAACTAAGCAGCTTTACTCAAACTCTCTTGCCATGGTGTTTCTTAGAGCCACCCGAGCATGGGCTGAAACAGACAAATAAACCTCTCATTATTTAAGTTGTGTGAGTCAGGTATGTTGTCCACCAATGCAAAAGCTGATTAATGCACAAGAGATTATGGTAGTGGTTTTATTGGAGAGGAGCAATGGTCAGGGAACATCAGATAATTAAGGCCAAAGGATCTGCGAGCCCTTGTGGCATGAAATTGTACACACACACACACACACAAACACACAGCTTGTTAAATTACCCTAATTTTAAAAATACAGAGTTGGATAAAATGTTTGTAAAATACGAATTGGGATCATTTGGCAATAACAAAGGTGTTGCATAAGAGTTCAGTCAAATCTGGTCAAATCACACCCACTGAATTTATTAATAATGTTTCTGATGGTCACAACATGTAAGCTGAGGAATGTGTTCAGTGACTTCTGGAAGATGAAGAAAAGATTTCATTTTTTCAATCACTACTCCTCCCAGAAGTTTTTTAGATTTTTGGTTATACATTATTTCTAGCCTTAGGTTACTACTCTTGATTCACCGCTGAAGTCAGGTTTCAGATACCCAGGTAAAAAGGCAAAGAGAAATTCTGCATAATTTAGGAGAGTGACTAAAATACAGGTTATTTTGCCTCACCCTCCCAGAATGCTGAGCACTTTGCTTAGAAATTGTTTTTCTGTTGACCGAGACTCATGTTTGTGCAATTTTAATCCCAGTTTAGGGAAGCATATTGGGAAGTGATGGATGAGTGAGTCAGCCAAGGGTGGAGCACCTGTTGCAGGTCTAGCATTGTCAACAGATAAGAAGTGTAAGAATATTCCTTACGAACTTTGCAATCTACGTAAGGGTAAAATTAGTTCATGACTCTATGGAAAGGTAATTTAGTGTTAAACTATAGAGAATTAAGTTCATTAAATTACAAAGGTCATTGCTGCCTGAATTCCTTAAGAGCATCACTGTTAGTGTTCTCTAGAGAACCCTATCCAGAGGAGACAGGTAAGTAGGTAAATGATAGAAATATATAGAAAGATTGATTATGAGGGACTGGCTCATTTAATTATATAGGAGACCAAGTTGCATAATATGCTGTTTGCAAGCCAGAAGCCCAGGAAGACCAGTGGCATAATTCCTGTCCAGAGTTAGGGCTGAAGGGCCACTGTAGCCAATGATACAAGTCCCCACCTGAGTCTGAAGGCCAGGGCACCAGGAGTGCCAGTTTTCTGGGATGCGAGATAACGATTGTCCTGGCTCAAGCAGCTGATTCACCCTTCCTGCATCTTTTTGTTTAGATCCCTGGTGGAGTGGTGGATGTGTACCCATAGTGATGAGGATGTTCTACACAGTCTGTTAATACAATGTCTTCTAAAAGCACGCTTACAAATACACTCAGGAATAAAGATTTACCAACTATCTGGCTTCCCCTACCCCCATCAAGTTGATACATAAAATAAATGTCACTCATCACTTGAGTATAGATAGCCCCTTCAAGTGGGATCAGATGACTGACTACGTATTAAGGGGAAAACATACCTTGAAAATTCTAATGCGTTATGGAAAAAACAGTGAGACTTTAGCAATTGGAACCATGTTGCCCACAATAGGCTCAAACATTTACCTTATTTATTGGGCTTTTTTTTTTACCTTAAAATTCAAGATATATTGTCTGTAATCCCATCACTCCTGAGGCTGAAACAGGATTACAAGTTTGAACCCAGCCTGGGCAATTCAAAGACTTAAACCCAGTCTCAGAAGAGTGGGGAGGAAGTTTTGGGGTTTAACCCAGGGCCTTCCCTCAGTGGGAGGAGGGCTGGGAATGTAGGTCCAGGGGAAGGCTCTGGGTTAAACCCCAAAAGGTTCAGGCAACGGCCAAGATAGGGAGATAATTAGATGAACTGTCACAGTCTTCAGTGACTTGAATCTTAGGTCCTGACCAGGTAACCATCAGCATCAGCTGGAGGCTTGTTAAAAAGGCAAGTTCCCAGGATTTCTGTATTACACATTGGGCAGGGAGATGAGAAATCTGGGTTTTACCAGTTCTTCCAGGGATTCTGATCAGCATTACCGTTTACAGACCATCAGTGTAAGACAATCCAAGGAGACTAATCAAAAGTTCAGGGACAGGAAGAAAACAAACTACAAAACATATATTTCATGTGAGCTTTGTTCTCTCAGACTCCAAGGGAGTCACACCGCTGCAACAAATTAACTGCTAGAAAAATGGTTTCCAAATCTTTCAAATCTCCTGAATCTTATTTATATTTATGTATATATATATATATATATACAATATACATAAATATATGAACATAGAAATATATAAACAAATATATTCATGTATTTATATAAATATATAAAATATATTTTACATATTTATAAATATATTAAATATATAAATATATATACTTTATATATCATTTATATATAAAATATATTTTATATATATATTTATATTTTATAAAATATAAATTTTTTTAAAAACTGCAAGTTCTGGGATGGGGATTTAGTTCAATAGTTTAAGCACTTGCCTGGTAAGGAAGGTTGTGAGTTTGATCACCAGTACCAAAAAACCAGCAAACAAACACCTACAAGTTCTTGATTCTAGACATAGAGATTATGATTCTATGTCTGCTGGAAGGTGTGAGTATCTAATTTAAAAGAAGCATTCGATGACTCCAAAGGGCAGCTAGGAGTGTGAATGATTGACTTGGACATATAGATGCAGAAATCAAGAGAGCATGAGAAGGAAGAAGGAATTTGGAAAGTCTGCCTATAAAGATTAGATAAAGGAAGCAAGAAAGTAACGTTTCACTTAAGAACAGCAGGAGTAAAGGGTGGGATGGATGGAACTGGGAAATGAGCATTCTGTAGATGATTCTACTTCACAAATAGAGGCCTTTAGCACTCCGAATAGAGCTGTTGTTTAAATTTTATCCTCAGATTCATTTCCTGGAGTAGGGGGTCAGGGTGCTAGAGAAGAGAAAGAGGGAAGAGTTAACTTGTTTAAAAATATTACCAATTTTAAGCCAAAAAGTAGAAAGTAAAATGATGAGTGAAGGTGGTGGCATTGTCTTTGTCTTGCAAATGTTTGGGTGATGCATTTTTAATTTTGTGATAGTTTTATCAGGGCTCAAAAGAACAATAAACCAAGGGTGCTCATAATTGACCTTTTAGGTGCAGTTGTGAAGGAACTTGGAGTAAAACTGCCATGGGGAGGTTAGAGCAGGATACAAATACACCTTCAAAGACAGGAGTGTTGGTTGTGCATCTTTGCAGCATGAGACAATACAGGCTTCATTTGCTACTTTCCCTAACATCAGCCATTTTCAAAAGGTCCTCCACATGTGAAATACAATGCTTATGACTCGTCAATGAATGAATGAATGAGATATACTGTACAAATTCAAGGCAGTGCCCTGTGAGATACAGCGTTTCTGCAAAAGGCCTAATTCAGGTCCTCTGCTGTAATTATGAACTTAATATATTATTTCTTCTTAAAACTGAGGTCTGTCTTGTCAAAAAGCTCAAGGAGTCAGTGGTGACATAAAAAATGCATATATAGATGTAGTGGCTTCAAAGTTCTGAACAAAGATGGCTATCATTGGAATAAAAAAAAAAATCTCTCCTAGTTT